AAGCCAGTGCAGCTCGCGGAGGATAGGTGTAACATGGGTGTACCTCGGTACACCCATTATCACTCGAGCGGCTGCGTTCTGGACCAACTGTAGTCTTCGAACACTCTTCCGGGGCAGCCCCATGTAGAGCGTGTTACAGTAATCCAGTCTTGAGGTGACGAGGGCATGAGTGACTACATATGTTCTCAATCCAACTCTTTGTAAGGTATAGGCTAATGAACAGATCGTTGTCCTTAGATGTAAAGACATAGACATGAAATTCAACAAGACAGTGAATCATGCTTACCAATAGGTAATTTTTTCCTCAGTTTTACTCCTACCCCTATTTCTCCTTTTATTCTGTGACAATAAACTGAGGATCAATAAAGATGTCCCAAAACTTTCAAAATGCATACAGCGTAACTGTATGTCTCTTACATTTTTAATCAGATGCTGAGACTAAGCTGAGTCAAAAACCTAGTTTTTGTCAGCCTGTTCAAAAATAGATGGGGGATGGCTGGCTGTAGTCTGCCTGAAGATTTATACCTGTCAGAATCAGAATAATTGAGGCTGTTGGAGGTTATTGCAGACCTTTATTTCCTAAAGCACTAACCACTTTTCAGCATGTTGTTGACAAATTATATCTCTGGTCCTGACAGAGAAAGACAGGATTAAATTGTAGCCATGCAGCGAACTAGATTCTATCACTAGCTGAGACACTTCATTCATGCCAGACTTCTTACCTTATAAACAAATCCATCTGGGCAACTGTGGTCATAGGTAAATGCTTTGTATACCACAAGAAAGACTATGCAGGCAAGGAATGCAAGAGCCAGGCTTATGAGAATAGTGACCTGCAAAACAATTAACAATTAAATTAATCTCTTGTCATGAATGTTAACTCCCTGGGAAATCATGTGTATTTATAGTCAGTTTAACAGATTTGTGGCTGTGGTTGTTTTTTAGCACAACATGCAGCACTTAACTCCCATCATCACAGATATTAAAATGAATACTGGTATATTTTCTTACAGGGTATATTAACTCTTAGAAAGCAAATTAATAACTTTGGATGAACCATATTGAAGACATAAAGCTAAACTAGAACAGATTGCAGCAAGTATTCATGAAGAGATATTACAGATATTAGTTTGATGTGGTGGTTAAGGTGCTGGCCTTGAAATCAGGAGACAGTTTATAGGCCTGCCTTAGGGATAAAAGCCACTGGGTGACTTTAAGCCAATAATTCTCTCAACCCTGCCCAACCCATTTAACAGGGATGATGTTGCATAGAAAATAGAAAGCAAGAATGTTAGGTATCTCTGCTGCCTTGAGTTACATACCTACATACAAACATGTAACATAGATAATAGATAGATTATAGATGAAATAGAGATAAGAGATCACAGAGATAGAGAGATAATTGTGATAAAACTAAGCCATCATCATCAACATCTAAAGCAGGGATGTCCAAATGGCAACCCATGGGCTGGGTGTGTCACACACAGGCCACGCCCACTCCAGCTCCATGAATGGAAAAGCATCATGAAATGTCACAGGACAGCAACGTGATGTGGCAAGTTTGACATGCAGGATCTAAAGCTTTATAGAAAATCAGAAATTGAAGTCTAATCATTAACAAACGCTATACAAATTTCTAGCACAGATATAGCAATGGAATTTTGCCTAGGGAAATGTGCCTCTGTAGCAATAAATCAGGATAAAATCACAAACAGTAATGTTATTGAAGTGCCGAATGGCCAAACTATCAAGGCTGAAGCCTACACATATCTGGGCATTATACAGTTGAATAACATCATGCATAGATAAGTTAAAAGTGTGATTAATAAATAAGACATCCAAAGAGAGAGAATATTACCAACAAAAAGTTAGCAATGTTATCAATACCTGCTTCATACTTATGATATGATACAATGCTAGAATTATTAACTGGACACAAGCTGAATTAGACAGTTTAGTTCAAAACAATAAAATTGACCACCATTCACTATGCATTACATCTCTGTAGAGAAATTGATGGATTATACCTGCCCCACAGGCAGAGGTTTCTTCAAGTCAGACAAACTGTTGAAGAAGAAACATGTGCATTCATTTTTTTATGTAAAAGACAGTCAAGAACAAGCATTGATTCAAGTTAAAAATGAGAATGTATTAAAGCAAAAAGTGAACATTGAAAAAAATATAATAAAAACATGAATAAAAAGTTGGCAAGGAAAAGGATTGCATGGTCAATTTTTACAAATGATCATGTGGAAGGTGGATAAGGGTAAAACCTGGCAATGGTTTACGACTGGAACATTAAAAAAAGAAAGTAAAGATTTGATTTTTGTTGCACAAGAGCAAGATATTTGAACTAATATGATGAAGGTGAGAATTCACTGCAAATCTGTTAAAGTATCATGTGAATTAGTAGGAACTTGTAGTTGAAAAAGTAGTTGAAAATGAGCAGATTAAATTTTGTGGAATTCTGACTATAGACTGATGAATATCTTGACTCACAACGCATCAGATATAACTGTGGTTGAAAAGAAGAAAATGTGGATAATGGATATGTCATAGTAGATAGTAGAGAGATAGTAGAATAGAAGACAAAGAATTGGAGATAATAGAATAGAAGACAAAAAATCAGAGAGGATGACAAAGTATCAAGATCTGAAAAACTGAAAGATTATGGTACAAACCAGCCATGGCAGTCCCAGGAATTATCAGGACATTGGGTGCCAGACCAAAAAATATTGTACAGCACTTAGAAAATCTGTGTACTGACATTTCCATCTGTCAACTGGAAAAAAAGCAACTTGGAGTGCATATATACTATACTGATACATTACAACATTCTGGGTTCTTGGGGAAGAAGAGTGCACATGAAGGCTAACACCAGCTAAAGAACTTAAAGCTGTGAGTTCACATTGTTGTGAAGAGATAATAATTGAATATAAAAAAAAAACCTAGCCTACAAGAAAGATCAATAGAGAAGAGATATGGGAACACTAAGTTTTACATCGCCGGCACATCATACAAAACTAGTAGGTAAGACAAAAAACAAGAAGACCTGACCATGGAAAGTTGAAAAAAGAGATAGAGGGGCTAATTCTTAACAAAATCAATTATTGAAGAAATGCATATAAGCCAAAATTGAGAAGGCAGCACAGACAACAAAAGAAGCTGAAGAAACAGTGGATCACCTAATTAGCTGCTGCAAAAAATGACACAGACTTAGTAGAAACAACAGCATAGCAAAATAGCAACAATGGTGCATTGAGATATCTGCAAGAAAAATCACTTGCCTGCAAGCAAGAACTGGTGGTACCACAAAATAGATAAAGTAATAGAAAATGAATAAGCCAAAGCATTCTGGGACTTTAGAATTCAAATAGACAAGCACCTGCCACAACATCCCAGACTTAACAATTGTTGATAAGAAAGAAAAATGTGTCTGGGTAGTGCACTACTTGGGGATAGCAGAATAGAAGAGAAAGAAATGGAAAAAAATCACAAAATACAAAGATCTGCAAATTAATGACTATGGCAAAAGAAAACAAAGATTCAGTCTGAACATCTGGCTGACTACGTGACCAATCACAATAATAACAATAAATATTAACATCTGAAACTATGAATTTCTAGCATATACAATGCAAACAAGCTAATTTGGACTGGAATCTAATATCTCTAGGCAGAAAAACATAAAATATGCAGTGCTAAATATCACCAAGTATGTGCCCATCTGGCAATAAGAACACAATAACACCTATGAAGCCAAGGGTCAAAATAACATAGTTTCCCACTGAGATTGATCTGGAAACAGCTCAAGGTGAAAACATGACTTTCTGGATGAAAATAACAGAGATGTTATTGGCTGCGATGCACTCTAAGTATAAATGCTGGCTGATTTTGAGTATATTGATGCTGCCTTAGCCCACTTGCTGAACTAACACCCAGAGAATAGGAGATGAAGGCAGGAAGCAAAATATAGATCCAGCCTCAGTACCCGAAGCCATAAACAGTGATGCTCATTTCATTCTGCTCCCTCTTTTTCATTTTAAAAAAATGAATTATAACCTGGGCAACTGGTGGAGCAGGGTTGCCAAAGTCACATCGTCACAGCAGTGTCAAGAGACGTCAAGACTTTTTCCCCTTTGCTAAACCAGGCATGGGTGTGGCCAGTTCATGACACATCTGGCCCATAGGCCGGGAATTTGACAGCCCTTCTTTATAGTGTCCTTGTCAAGGTAAATCAGTGAGGAGCATGTGGCCCAGTAAACCAAATTGTTTCTATTCACTGACTATATTTCTAAGATAGTAGGACTAGCATGCTGACTGAATAGGAAGGGATAAGTGATAAGAAGGTCACACAGATGTGTTTATCTAAAACATTCTAACATCTGCTGTAATTGCCACTGTGTCTACCCTTTTCTTTTTCTTTTTCTTGCCCTTGTAATGGACCAAAGGTAGCTAAACTCTGATTTTGCCTTGGCTCATGGCTCTTCAGCAAAGTGTCAAGCTTTGCTGGGAGTCCAGAATATATTATTTATGGATTTGCATGGAAGTAAAATTATGTCACATCTTCAAAGTGATTTGATTGCTTTAAATGAGCCAGGTTTTGGCCACAACAAAAAGAAAGCCAACTTGCAAATATCTGTTGTGACAAAACTGATAACCATTTTTATTAGGAACAACAAAAAGTTTGTTTGCTATAATATATCAAGTACTCAGTAAAACCTCAATAAAACATGATAGCAGTGTTCCAATATCTCAGGAGCTCCCACAAAGAAGAGGGAGTCAAGCTATTCTCCAAAGCACCTGAGGGGAGAACCAGAAGCAATGGGTGAAAACTAATCAAGGACAGAAGCAACTTAGAACTAAGGAGAAATTTCCTGGTAGTTAGAACAATTAATCAGTGGAATAACTTCCTCCAGATGTTTTGAATTCTCCAACACTGGAAGTTTTTAAGAAGATGTTGGATAATCATTTATCTGAAGTGGTGTAGGGTTCCTGCCTAAGCAGGGGGTTAGACTAGAAGATATCCAAGGTCCCTTCCAACTCTGTTGTTCTATTCTAGTGTTGAACCTAGAAAGACAGTATGACTGGAAACAGAATATTACTTGACTTTCAGAGCTGAAAATATGATATTATGACCTTCTTTAAAAAACTGGAAAGCTGCCTAGATATACTTCTGTCCAAGGGCAGCCAATCTATCTTAAGGCCAAAGCATCACTGTTCTTCTTTCTTAAAGAGCCTCCAATATTTTTGCTTTGTAAACTAAGACAAACTGACTGCAATCTGCTTCAAGTAATCCCGGGGTTAAGTTTCCTTGTCTCAATGGTGCAAAAATCATCAAGAAAGTTCACAAAAATATCTATGGAAATTCTCAGTCATCCAGGTCATGGTTGTCTCAAAGGTGTTTTTTCAAAAGGCAACTGGACTTTCTGTGTTTTCTTTGAAGACATGTCACATTTCATCCAAGAGCTGTTTGGACCATTTGAAAAAGCACCTTTGAGTTGAGAAAGATATTTATACCTTGACAAACAGTTCTGTCCTAACAAAGTGCTGAAACAGTGCTGATCTGCCTCAATCAGATGCTTCTTGTCTGTAAAAGTTGTTAAGCAACGCTGCTGGTTCGCACAATGGAAAAAATATATATAGGGGACCATTGTTTTGTTTTTAGCAAGGCTTCAAGGGGGTATTTCATTAACATTCTGTGGAAGCAAAGTGTCTTTTCAGACCACTAGTCACTAGATTGGTTCTGCATCTTGTGATATTCAGGAGGTTTGTCATACTAATCATTCTATCCACCTAACCCTACTGCTATCTCTTTTTAGATACTTCTACC